ACGTGCAGGAAAAAAAGGGATAATTATGATTAATTAAAATAAAATAAAAATTATAGAATTAATTAATTACATTACTGCCCTTATTAATTTATTTATATTTAATATAARTTAAYTTATTAATTAAAAAAGTTTGAGGTTATTAGATTGTTCTCGCATTCTCGTAAATCACAGGGGTTCTCGTTTGAACCTCCACCTACATATATATATATATACATACATATATATATATATATACATACATATATATATATATAGATATATACAATTTTCTTTAACAACTCTAAAATCAGTGAGATTTTTTTCATTCATTTTAAGTCATAAAATAATTAATGCTATTGATTAATGATAAAGTTAATGTCATTTATTTATATAAAAATAAATGCATTTTTAAAAAAATTGAAATTCCATAAATCTCTCTCTTTTTGTCTCTCTATAACATCTTTGACAAACTATACAAGATCTTGTAGATTCGAGTGCGTTCACAAAATATAATACTATCTTTAAGAAATTTTTCACAATATATTCATCTTATATGCATATTCAATTATGTATAAGTATACGTATACTTACGGAGTGATGAAAGAAGAGAGATAAGATGGGAGAGAGAATAAATTTGAGTTTAATTATTTGAGATATGTAAGATCCATTTTAAGTCATTAATTTAAAATAATTAATGTTATTAATTAATTAGATAATTATCATTATTTATTAAATACAAATTAATGCATTTTTTAGGTTAAACACAATGTAAACAACCTTAATAATTTTTTTTACTAGGATGTTTACATGATTCACATTTTGTTCACAAATGGTATGTTTATATCTAGTTTTATTGATTTAGTTTGTATTAACCATATGTTCACCATTATTCTATCTCGTAGATTTAAAGTGTGTTCACAAATTATAATAGTATTTTTATTCACAATATTTTCATCTTGAATTTATATTTGATTATGTATGTATGTGTATATGATGAAACAATTATATTAAACTAGAAGGTACTCGCACAATGCAGCAACATACATCCATATTTCAATCTTCGTTTTTTTGTCTTAATCGATGTTATAATATAGTTTTTATATGTTTTTGAGAAAATAATAATATTTTTATTTTTGAATAAACTATAAATATGAAAATATATCATAAAAAATTGAAAAAAAAATATTGATATTAATATCAACCTAACTATTTAATTTTTTTTTGTGTATTTCTGTAATTCATTTTTTTATTTTTGTTTTAATAATATAATTTTTTTATTTCTGTAAGTATTTTGTTAGAACTTAATGATAATCATAATTATATTTTAGATTTTATATATTTAAAAAGAAATATTTATCCTCTATTTGATTATGTTTATTTGCAGTTGGTTACACAAATTCAAACATGAAACTTTAATAAGTTGTACATATGCATAATTTACTTGTAATCTTGAATTTTAAGTAATATGCATCAATAAGCAGTACTTCATGCATAAAAAATGGTTTTTAAAAGTTTTTATCAAAAGATTTATAATATATTATAGATATGTTGAAGGATAAATGTGTCATCGTCTAAAGTATATAACGATAATAATAAAGATAAAGATAAAGCTTAAAGATAGTGATAAACATATTAGAGTTAGATTACTATTATGTATCTTATGACAATCTCTTTGTAACTCATACCTATTTAAAGGACTTATGATTAATAAGAATAAAACTGATTTCTTGATTCTTTATATTATTTGTTCTAAAACAAAATATTGTTTTTTAACTAATTTTTTATATTTTAAATTAAATATTATGAATTTTACAAATTACTAAAAAAAGATCCCTATATATAGAAATAGAAGTAGTTAAAAAAAGTGTGTTGAAAATTTGAGTGGGTGGGGCCTCCTGTCCTGCCGTGTATATTTGGACACCATGTTATAAGTCAATTGCTTAGTGGGTACTTCGTCACACTCGTATATAATTGTATTCATTCATGTTTCAAGCGGTAGCCACTTTCTTTTCTATTTTTTTTTATCGGTTTTAATGAAATTACTGAATATTAAATCTTATATATTAGGAGTGATTTATTAAATGTTAAATATTTATTGTTATAAATCATTATTTCATTTATTTTATCAGGTAATATTTTTGGTCATTAATAATATTTATTAGTAAACGTGTCTTCTATAAACGTTAATCGGAAAAGTGTCTTCTTCCTCACTTACATGACAAGATTCTTAATTCTTGTTATGATTGTGATGTGATGGGATTATGTGAGACCAGCTTGTTTTCGTGAGATCCATGAGACCATTTTTTACACTTGAAACTTCATAGTATTTTTTGCTGTGAAGGTTCGTTTTTTTTTTTTTTTTTTTACCTTCACAGTTTTTTGTTGTGAAGTTTCAAGTGTAAAAAAATGGCCTCACGGATCTCACGTAAACCCAACTATATATATATAAGGGTCTATTCAAGGAAGAATTGATTAATTTGTGATAACCGTGAGATCTAATGTAAATCACTCATTTGAAATATTTAATGACATTTATTAAATAAGCTAAAAGAGTAATATAGTAATTCTATTTTTGACAATTTCTTAAAATATTTAATTAAAATTAGTTACCTTATATATCAATTATCTAATATTTAATATTTCATGTGTTTCACGTGCATCACAATGTATTTTTTTGTTTTATGAAATGTATCATAGTGTGCATTTATGTTATTTTCATTGCTTTACAATGGGTATCATGTTGTGCATCTTGTATGTATATCTAAGTATCACAGTAAATATCGTTTGTAGGTATCACAATGTCTATCTTATGTTGACATAAGATTCATCGGAATAAGATTCGCCGGAGAGAGAAAAGAGGAGAGATGAGAGAGGATATTTATAAAATTTCTAAAATGCCCTTAATTAATATTTTAAGTTAAAATTACCAAAATTATTAACTTTCTAATTTAACCTTTGATTTGTAGTTGAAATTGGATTTCACGATTACTACAAACAAAACAGTTCTCATTTTATTAGGTCCCTATATATATATATACACACACACACACACACACGAGCGACCTGAATCAAATGATGAAGATGAAGATGAGGATCTTGGTAGGGATGGGAATGGACCCCGACCCGTCGGGTAACCCGTTCCACCCGCCCCGGTCGGGGACGGGGATTCCCCGAAAAATCGGGTCCCGGGGACGGGGACGGGGATCCCCGCTTAGCTCAAGCCGGGGACGGTGACGGTGACGGTGACGGGGACGGGTACAGCACTCCCCGCCCCGCCCCGCCCCGTTTTTTATATATGTATTGCGGGTTTTGGGCTTGGGTCTGTTAATTGTATTAGTCTAAAGAATGTGTCCAGCCCTAGCATCATTCTCATTCATCGTCTCCTTCAAACCCAGCAACCAGGACCAACCTAGTATCCCTCTTCAGTCCTCAATACGATACGACTCCCTCTCCCTACCCTAATCGGCGATAGCGACAACGACGACAGCTACGGCGGCAGCGGCAGCGACAGCGACGGTCTCCGGCTCTCCCTCTCCCTACACGTTCACTTCACTGGTTTGTATTTCTCCCTTGATTTGTGAACTAAGATTGTCTTCTTCAGTCTTCTTCTTTACTTCTCCCTTGATTTGTATTTCCAAATTGATAAAATTGCTATAAAATTGTTTTTAATAGGCTTCAATAATGATGATTGGCTCTCACTCTCGCTCTCTGCCTCTCTCGACCATCGACGGCCGTCTGTCGTCTGCGACTGCCTCTGTCGTCGCCGGTCGCTCTCGCTCTCTGCCTCCCGGCTCCCACTCTCGCTCTCCGGCCACTCGCCCGTTGCCCCCTCTCTTTGTGACTACTGACTTGTGTTGAGGTTAGGGATTTAACTTAGGGTTATTATATTATTTATTTTATTTTTTATGTTTCTAATTTTGTTTGATTGGAAAACCTAGTTGTGAAATTGGTGGCTTGCTGTGTTCGACTATTTTACTTTGTTTGACTCATTGATTGTTTTTGTTTCACTTGTTACAAACCATTTGTTAATGTTTTATAGATGCTTATGTTTAGCACTTTAACTTAGGGCTGTTTTAATGTTCCTGTGTGCATTCTTTCATAGTTCCTGTAGGACTTCTTATCACAGTTTTTATCACAACCGGATGAGTACTTAAAAGTTAAAAACATACCCAGCAGGACTTCTTATCACAGT